CCCCAAAACCCCAAAACCCCAAAACCCCGAGTAGTTTTATTGTAAATGAATAGTTAATATCAGTAATAAATAAATTATACTGTCGATAAAAACATCCTATTTAATGAATATTGGCAGGTAATTATTTATTATATTTAAAAATGCATGAAAGTGGAAAATTTTTTAGAAAATAAATGAACATGAAAAGTTGCCTCCTAAACTGCATTAAGTAGTAAGATATGTATGGTAGACCAATAACTCTGACATATCAAAAGAGCTAGACGTTTAAATCGGTTATTGGAGGAATTTTTACTCTCATAACTAGGCTATCAATTTTAGTCTTCTTCCTATTAGAGTTAGCAAATGTTCTAAGAAAGCAAAGTACTATCAAGAATTCTAATTATATAAGGGATTTAGCAAATGATTTAACAGAGTATTAATTTGATTAATCAAACTTTGATATCGCAGTATCCCTGTCATACATGAATGATTGGACATAATCTATCACTCCAGTTATATATAGATATGCTCTTGTATCGATATCTCAAATGAGCTTTGGGTTTGTGGTTTAGGATGGATAACTTGTTTGGGAATTGAAAGAAGATGATTTTCCTCTAATTAAGTGCCCACCAGGAAGATTTTTAGGGGAGGAAAAAATAACTAAGACACTGGGTATAGAAACTTCATTTTTATGTCCAGATAAATTAAATTTGACACTTCAAGGAAGCTTTTCAAGCAAATAAGCTAAATTTTTGAGAATAAATGTTAGAAAATGTGAAGAAAGCAGATTAAAGCTTTTATATCCTAATGAAACATGCGCTAGTTAGAGTGAGATAGATAGAGTATTCGAAAAAATGCAATTGTGGGTTCCCATTATCAATCAGTATTTTGATGATTATGAACTGAATGCTTATCCCATAAAAACAACAATCTACAATGCTTATTTTACAACAGCACCAAACTTATCCTAGCATTACTTTGTAAAATTATCTGAAAACAGAGCGATAGTCAGAGATTCTTATCTTTCAAGCAACGTTCATGAACAAATTCTTACCTATTACTCAATTAGATAGGAATACCAGTTTAATAAAATTCCAGATGATAACTTTTCTCCTATTCAAATTACAATAGCCATTGATGAAAACATAAAATAAACTGTTAGGTAAACTTACACAATAGCTGATGCCTTTTCTGCTACAGGAGGTTTTATGTAGATATTACATTTTGTTGCATTGTTTTTAGTGAGTGGAATCCAGAATAAACTATTTTACTTCTCAATTATTAAAGATCAGCTAATTTATAAAGGACAAGAATCTAGATAGAAGAAAAAAGAAAGATATGAATATCTAGATAATAAAGATGGAACAATAAGTACTTTAAGACAAGAATCAGGGAATTAATCAACTAGATCTTAAAATTAAAAAATTATTATAAACTCAATTAAACAATGATCTTAGTTTTTCTATAACTTTAATGATTTTCTCAAGTACTGGCTATAAAGACTATGCTGTAAGTGTAATTATCCAATAAGCAATAAATATTAGCTATTTAAGAAGGGAAAACAAATGATAGATGAATAATTTGAAATTGTAAATCTATTTCATTAGATAAGAGTTAGTAAATTACTAGCTTAATTGTACTTAACTAAACAATAAAGATTTTTAATGCCTTACTTTAATGACAAACTTATTTATCTAGCAGATCCGAACTAAATCAATCAAAAAGAATGTAGATTTGAAGAAAAAATAAAAGATTGGTAACAAATTAACGAAGATCATAAATCAAATATTCAAAAGTATCTTGGGTAACTAATAAAATCTTCAGAAAAATCTTAGATTGATAGAAAAATATTAAAGAATTTGATTGATGTAGAAAAAATCACTCTCAATAGCTCTAATAATGAAAATTTTTAGGATTTAAAATTTATGAATAAAGAAACTGATGCATTAAAGGAAATAATTGAACTCATAGGCTCATAAACTCAATCTGATCAAGATAAAAATTTAATAAAAATTGAAAGTATGAAGAAGAGTGACATAAAAAAGTCAAAAACTAAAGAACCCATGAAAAAAAAGAAAAGAATAAAAAGAAATGGAGAGTTAAAAAATAAGGACCTTGGTTCAACTGATGATAGTAGAGTTCTAAAACTTTTAAAATCTCCATAGAGCTAGAGAATAATGATTAAAACTAGAAAAATACATAGTGAATAAGTGTTGGAGTCCTTTTATGATTGATGATTATAGTTTTCGCTTGCTTTGGCAGTTGTATCATGAATTATTTCATTAGATTTTAGTTGAATGACTGATTATTAAAATGCGAGTAATGATATGACAAATTTTAAATTGATTATCAATTCCATAGAAAAATTAAATTAATCCTTATGGGGTTTTGGGGTTTTGGGGTTT